TCTTTCTCGTTGATTATTCGCGTTGGTGCGATTCTGGTCTTTTTCTCTTCCGGAAAGTAAAACAGGGCATTTGATGGATGCTTGTTGGTCTGTTTGCAGAACCTTCTGATGGACATGATTACTCGTAATTCGGGGTAATGGTGATCGAGCGATGCAACTGATATACTGTAAGCAATAGCAATACCGAAATGAATTGGCTTTTGTCATTCATCAATTCATGGAGAGTATTTGTTTATGAATAACTCACGCAGGTTTGTGTTTGCATCTTTAATGAGCAGTCCACAATAGGTTTGGCGGGATGGGGGATTTGGAAATTCTTTGTGGCGATACTCGGGATGTGAGCTGAAAACAGGAGCGGGAGTGGGATTTCTTATTTCTATTGGGATGGGATGTGAAAATCGAAAGGGAAAAATAGCGGGATACGGGAATTTAGTTTCGTCTTGACCATAAATTTATTAGAGTTGACTGATAGAAAGAGGTTCTTTTGTGTGTATAACGCTTTTATAGTCAAGCTATGAGTATCAAAAGAACTGAAGCCTGTCAGATTTGCCCATTGTTCGTCTTTTCCAGTTTTGCTACTTCTGTCGTTTTCGTCACAGTAGTTTTATGTAAGTTAAAGATGATGAAAGAATTCAAATAAAGGCATTAAATAGTGCATCAATCAAAAAGTTTAATAAAATGAAACGGGGTCTTATAATCAAAGCCTTAACGTGATTGCAGGATCGGCGCCTATCAGAAGCTTCATCTTTTTACGGCAACAAGGTTAAAATTGAGGATAAGGAGTATAAATTATAGATATTGCTTGTGGCTTATGGAAAAAAAAAACTAAATCAAAACTGTCAATAATAACATAGCCAGCGAATTGGGCATGTTAGCTAATTAATATTAGCGAAATCGAATGTAGCGCCGGAACTCCACAAGTAAACCATATCAGGTATTTCTCGCGAGTAAAAAGTGTTGAATCTAAAACCACTTTACATCAAGCATGCTAACAAAGGCACAGGTTACAAAGTATTTAATTAAAATAATCTCTTTTCTGTGTTGTGGTAAAATATCGAAAGACATTGCGTTCTTGTTATCATGTGATTTAAGTCATCGATTTGCAATGCACTGTAAAACCTGCTGAAGTGCTCCGTTGCTGCTGTACTCAGATCATAATTATAATTCTACATGGAACGAACTGACTTTTGGTGGAATGATATAAACCGTGTAACAGTAAATGAATGTTGCTAAAATCTCAGCAGAACAAGTACCATGACGATAACTTAATCTTTAGGATCTTAACCCACCACTTGTATCAAATTATTTACATTTTTGACAGGTTTGTCATGTGACTCCTGCTCGAGCAACCAAGTCACGAACAGCTAGAGTGAATTAATCATGACTTTTTTGAACGGATAATGCAACCGTTTGAACGGAAGCAAACTTTTTTTGCACGGATAGCCCAAGCTGTTTGAACAGAAGCAAATTTTTCTCGCACAGATAGCCTGAGCCGTTCGAACGGAAGCAAATTGTTTTCACATGGATAGCCCAAGGTGTTTGAACGGAAGCAAATTTTTCTCGCACAGATAGCCCGACCCGTTCGAATGGATGCAAATTTTTTTCAAACGGATAGCCCGAGCTGTTTGAACGGATGCAATTTCTTTCGCACGGATAACCTGAGCCGTTCAAGCGGATGCCCAATCCGTTGGCACGGCTAGTGCACGGCATACACACGGCATCCGTGCGTAAACAGCAAACCGTTAGGAACGTTTTCCCATGAGAGGTCACATTAAGTCTTTGAACAGGGTGTTAGGCTTGACAATTCGTCCAGATCTGGTCTGCGTAACGTTGCTGCTGGATTGAGGTAACACAGTCTTGCTGGGTGTGGACATTGCTGGGACTTTCCCGAGTAATGGCTGATTGCTAGGCAGGTCATGGTCATTGGTAGCAGGTCTGTTCTCAGGTGCACCTTGTATCTGGGTCAAGTCAGGTTCTTGAACAGACAGAATGTCTGTCTGGGACTGGATAGCATCACGTAGGTGAATATGATCTCTGCGATGGGTAATCCATTCACTTCCACCAGGTAACTGCAAGGAGCTATATTCTCTAGAATAACTCCAGGCTTCCAATTGCTGCAGGGGTGTTGAGGATGTGCTTTGACTCACAGTGGCTGTCCAACTACTAGACTGGGTAGCTGTTTGGCACTTCGGTCATGGTAGTGCTTAGTAAGCTGTCTCTTGTGCATCACTTGAGCTGTTACAGTGGACTGTACTTCAGATTTGTACAGCAATTCCTTGCACTGTAGGAATAATCTTGTTCTGTGTGACATAAGGCGTTGGACTGGGGAACTGCCTATAGAGGGAGTGGGTGAATTTCTCCATTCTAGGATAGATTTCCATAGAACTGTTCCTTGTTTGTTGCCTTTGCTGATAATGGACTTCATTATCTTAACTACTGATTCAGCCTTGCCATTTGCCTTTGGGTGATGGGGACTGGAAGTGAAATGTTGGATGTCCCAGTCAAGAGTGAAGTCAGTGATTTCCCCAGAAGCATAATTAGGACTGTTGTCAGAGATTAACGTGACAGGGATTCCGTGAAGGGGAAAGATTTGCTTGAGCTGTTTAATCAAAGTGGTTGAGAAGAGTGAGTTCAGCTGTTTTATCTCAATTTAATCTGAGTAGAGGTCGACTATGATCAGATAATGGCTGCCATCTCGTTCAAAGCGATCGCTAGCGACAATTTGCCAAAGCAGGTTTGGAATTGGGTAGGTCATTAACAGCTCATTCGCTAGGTCATGTCTGGTCTGCTGGCAGATTTCACATCTTTGAACTGCTCCAGTTAGATCAGCAGTCATTCTTGGCCAATACATGTCTCTAGCAGAGCTGTTTGTGTACTGGAATCCCAAATGTGAGCGATGTGCTCTGGTTGTCATTTCTCCTCTCATGGAGACTGGAATAATGACTCTTGTTCCACAATACACTATTCCATTCGCGTGGTTAGTTCGTCTAGGCCAGTATTGACGTGCACACAGAGGGGTCTTTAATTTGTCATTAGGCCATCCACTCATGATCAGCGACATCAATGTTTGAAGAGAAGTGTCCTGTCTGGTTGGGGGCTTGTGAGGATTGGTTTTGAAAATATTGTCATTAGAGGCTTGTGATCAGACAGTACTTGGACAGTTTTATTCCAGAATGTAATGCTCAAATCGTTTAGCCATTTTTGACAGAAACTGCATTTCTGATTGTACGCCAGTCAATCCTGCCTTTTGGTGTGACGTCGTTGTTTACCACAGAATTTACACTTTTCATTTCCAGAATGCTTGTTCTTGTTTGGGGTTCCCTCTCTCTTCTTTCCTCGTCTGTCTTTCCCACTTGGCTGCTTCTTGAAATTTTTTCCTTTTTGTTTTTCAACTAAGTTTACTTCCTTTGTTGCTCCACTGTCGCATGTTATGGACACCAACTGTTGGCTGGTAATTTTGTCAGAACAGGCAATGTCGAGTGCTTTATTAAGTGCAAGGGATTTCTCTCGTGGGAGTTTCCTTTTAGTACCTTTATCGAGAAGGCCAATGACTAATCTGCTGTGGATTAAGTCATCATTAACCCAATGACGCCTGAATGAAATTTCCAGCGATCTACCCCTACGTCCCTGGCGATCTTTTAACATTTCAGAGCGAGCGCGAGCGCTAAAAGTAATCCATATGCGCAGTAAACATACACACAAGATCAGGTTTCAAGACTTTGATTATTTCAAGTCAGATAAATCAGCGGCCAAACTATCAAATAAAAATGGCAAAAGACCTCAAATCAATGTCCCCAACCAATCTAAAAGTAAAAAATTAATTCTTTTTCTACCGCGCAACAAAATCCCGAAATTGTTTTCCTTTGGAAAGGAAAGTGAAATGTGTTAACTCGCCAATTATTCAAGCCAAACTAAACAAGTCATCAAGAAACTTAGAGCATTTACAATGAGATAAATTTGCAGCTAATTTACCAAGAAATATTGCGTAATATAAGAGAACTGATAATTTGTAAAGCGGGGTAAAATGCCAAAATTGATTTTCACAGCGAAAGATAAGCAAATTGTGTAATTGATGATGACGACGAACACAAACCATGTTTTTAACAAGATTTCTATTATGTTTATGGGGCAAAATTAAATGCCAAATACCAAATAAGATGAAGTCAAATAGAAGCCAGATAATCTCTCAGAAAAAAAACCGAAAACGAGAATCATACATCACAATTTTCTCGCTGGACTAATGTAAACAAATTGTCACGGCAAAACCGGAAATGCCAATAATTCCTAAATACAAAACACGGTTAAACTCAGTAATACTAATCATTACGGTAAGTACTACACTTTATTATTCGAGTTTCTTTTAAGGTTGTATCGACACTTGAATGATGAGGACTCAGGAGATGCAGGATACAGCGAAACGTATATAAATTTACAACATGTGATAATCTGCAAAGCAAACTTCCTTACAAAGAGCTACGCCGCACTGCACGCATTCAAATGTAGTTTCTACAGGGCGACCTTTGGGAGTTTTTGTACCCACCCTCTTACACTGAACACATTCCCTCTTACACTGAACACATTTCCTTTTTCTTCCCTTAATTTTATCACTAAAATGTTTCCCTTCATTCCCCTCCTGAAGATCATGAGCTTCAATCTTACGGCGCTTGGATGATTGTGCCGCAGACAACCTAGTCGAGTATCCCCCAATCAACTGTTTTGCTAACTCTGTCCTAAACTTCAATTGCCTAAGCTTACCCATCCCTTGGCTTAACTGATGGTAATTACAAAGTTCAAAGGCATTACTTCTAGCTATGTCGATAAGGAACCAAAATATATACCAATACCACTTGCTGGAAGAACGACCTACTGAATAATATTCGCGCAATTGATCGGCGCGATCAACACCCCCCATACAGCTGTTGTACAAATCAATAACAACTGGTCTTGGAACTTCCCTATCACCCCGATTAACTTCAACATCATCGGCCAGAGGACTTACATTAGTTGCCATACCACTGACATCCCAACTGACGAACTAACTTCTCCCCAACCCGCAGTTTCTCTTTTGCACATTGTGGCAAGTCTTTACGATTGGATCTTACAGTCCCGCAGGCGTATGTATCATTTGCTTCTAAATGTTCTAATAGCTTAGTTGATGTGAAAAAATTATCGAAGAATACATGATGATTTCTATTCATAAAAGGTCTGATTAACTTGGTCACTACATCATAACCTAACCCATGAATACGACGACAGCCGTCGGCTTCTTTACCAAGGTACACATCAAAATTCAAAACGTACCCGTTACTCGAATCGGCCGCCATCCACACTTTAATTCTGTACTTAGTAGGTTTTGCTGGCATGTATTGCCTGAAAGATAACCTCCCCCTAAAACCGATCATGCCCTCATCTACAGAAAGATTCTTAGTCGGTTTAAACTTCGTTTGGCAATTACCCAAAATAGAGTCAAATATCCGTCTAATCTTATAAAGGCGATCAAACCCTGGTGTTCCCCGAGCGGGCTCTACACTTGAATCACTAAAATTCAAGTAACAACTAATCTCTTCAAACCTATTCTTGCTCATAACCTTCTTAATGCCCTGGTTTCCAAAATACTCATCAGATGACCAATATAACGCTAACTGAGGGAAACTATGGATACCTGTAACTATGTTTACTCCAAAAAATGCCTTGATCTCTGCACGTGTAACAGGAACGAAATTTGCGAGGCGCTCGGGTGAATTTGAAAGTCTTTGATGAGCGTTGCGATTTGTTTCTTCGACAATCAAATCCCATAAATCATCATCTACAAACTCTACAAAGTAATCTAAAGGCTTAGGAATGTAAGGGAAGTTAAAATTAAGGCCAGTTTCTGCTGTGAAGTCCGTGATGGGGAAGCCGCTGAGATGGTCAGTCCATCGAGCTTCTTCTTCTTCGTCATCGGTACCTCCAGGTGCAGGGCCGCCACTGTCGTCCTCCAAGCCTTCAAGATCTACATCACTACCGCTATCATTATTACTACGTCTAGGTTCAAACCCATCAAAGCTTCCTTCATCCTCTGAGTCATCAAAAACAGCCGGAATATCGGGGTCTCTCTCATTGTTCTCCGCCATTTTCGATCGCACGCATGAAAAAAAATTTTTAGAAATCCTTACCTTGTGGGCGTCTCATCAGCTGTCAAAATATGCGCAAAAGACGGCAAATGATTGGCTAATTTCCCCTATTTATCTCTATGACAACAGAATAACTAAATACCCTAAGGGAGAGTAGGGAGAGGACGTAGTCCTCACGCGCTTTATTTGGGCGGTTACGGGCGGCACAGGGAATCCAGGAGCTTTTCGCACGGGCAGTTACGGGCGGCACAGGCGTCAGTGGATTAAGTGAGCCAAATTCACATGACAAGGCATATTTCCGTAGACGAGTGTCAAATCTTTCTGCTGACTCTCCTGAATTTTCCTCACACGAATTGAAAATAAACAGCTCGTAAACAATGTTGCGTTTCGGTTTGAAGTAGTTTTCCAACACACCCATGCATGCTTGAACATTGTTCCTCTCCTCGGTTGAAATACTGACATTAAGAAAAGTCTGAAGACAGTCTTTGCCCGTCACAGAGTGAAACGATGCTAATCTTATCTTTGAATCTTGTTTATTGAGGCCGGTCGCAACTTCATAATCCTCCCATTGGTTGAGGTCACATTAGAAACTTAACTGTGGTAAAGGGCTTTTACTATGGTAAAAGTAAGTAAACAAAAGTTGACCATAGTAAATTGTGCTTGTTGACTTAAACATTTCCCAGATGGATTTTTGTCCAAAGAGTGTCAATCAAATTGCAATTTGATAAGAAAGACAAACAAGTTCAGACATTCCATGTTTTACTTGCGTTACGTTCGTCTGGGAAAAGAAATGTTCTGTTTCCCCCTTGCGCCATGGATTCTGAACGCTCGCTCTTTATGATAGTTGCTATTCTTCTTGTTATAATTGCTATCCGGAAAGCTCAAAGGTTCAGGTTTATTGCCCTGAACATGTATTTTCTTCGTAAGAGAAGGCAGCATGACTTAATCTCTGCTCTTCTCGCCAGAAGAATTAGGAGGATAAGACATACTTGTGTGCGGCGACGAAGAGCGGCGTGGGTATATCCCAGACCACAGGGTTGGTTTGAAGAGATGTACCAGAATCCAGTCTTCTCTACCTTGTGGAAAAATGACTTTCGCGTCACAAAGGAGACATTTGATTACATTTGCCAGCTGGTTGGACCAGACCTTTCAAGGCAAAACACTCGCTTCCGAAAGGCTGTTGCTTTGAACAAGCGCGTGGCAATTGCGTTATGGAGAATGGGAACCGGCAATTCATATAGAACGACGGGAATAACATTCGGACAAGGAAAATCTACTGTAATAAAGATATGTGAAAACTTTATGGAAGCCTTAATACGCCACAAGGACGATTTTATACAGTTCCCAGATGATCCGCTTGATGTTACACTGGCTATGAGGAGGAGTGAAAGTTTAGCTGGATTTCCAAATGTTGTTGGAGCGATAGATGGATCTCATATCGCCATAAAAGCACCCCATGTTAATCATGAAGATTATTTTAACAGAAAGCAAAACTATTCAATTAATTTGCAAGGAGTAGTCGATGCAACTGGTAAATTTATAGATGTCAGCACAGGATGGCCCGGTAGTATTCACGATGCCAGAGTATTGAGACTTAGTACACTGTACCAAAGAGCCGAGCACAACCTTATTTTGACTGAGCCAGTTAAACGCATTAATGGAGTAACTGTGCGCCCCCTTCTGATCGGTGATTCTGCTTACCCCTTACTACCCTGGCTGGTTAGTCCTTATCCCCATTCCCGTAACCTTAATCGAAATCAGGCCAAGTTTAATAAGATTTTGAGCAAGAGTAGGGTAATAGTAGAAAGGGCCTTTGGAAAGCTGAAGTGTCGTTGGAGGTGCCTACTAAAGCCACTTGAAGAAAAGACACCAAAAGTTCCACATACTATCCTGACCTGTTGTATTTTGCACAACATTTGCGTTTTAAGGGCCGACGAGTTCGAAGATGACCATAGTTCCGATGATGAAGATGATGAAGATGGGGATGATGACGGCGATCAAATTGCATTCGGGCAGGGACGAATTGTAAGGCAAGCTCTAACTGCATTTCTCGCTGAATGAACTCATTTTTTTTATATAGACTGTCCTTTTATTAAACGGACAAATCTGAAATTATTGACCAATTCAGATTCTATGGCTCTGC